TGTGTGTGTGTGTGTGTGTGTTGGTGAAGCTAACATGTCATATCAGAAACTGTCAGCAAGAAGCAACTGGGAGCAGAGAATCACAATCGTACATCTCTAGGCAGAAAGGGAGGCTTTCATGTAGATAGGCAGGATGTGGACACCAGCAGAAGGATAAAGGATCACACCGTACATGACACTAGTTTTTTTTTCTTTTTGATAATTGGAGTGAGGAATCAGGATCAATTACATTCTTTCCTGCTCATCCTCTTTCAGTTTCGCTGCTTCTGCTGCTGCATGTATTCAGAGGGAGACAAGAATGAGTCAGCAGCTCCTGTGTTCATCTCCAAGGTAACCTCAGGATTTGCCTCCATTGCTAAAACTGAGATCACTGTCCTTATTGGTTCTTATTCTCCAATGAATTTGAATGCACACTGTCCTTCAATCAGAAGCAAGGAGTGCTTATAAAAGAGACAGCATTGCAAGCACTTACCAGTCAGGCTCTGGCCATATTCCAGGACACAGTGGGTCTTGGGTGTGGCTAAAGCCCGACTGTACCTTGGATAGACAAGGCAGACTGCTTCTGACATGTACAGGAGTCAGAGCCTGTGGAAATAAGCAAAGGCAGGGATTTTTTCATTCCCAGCTTTATAAGTCCTAGTCACCTGCTCTGTCTCCGGTGCAGAAAGTAGCATTCTGCTTTTGAAGCAACTGCTTCTCTGTTAAGATTTGATATTGCTCTGTCAGATTTGAAATGCTGTATCATCTCTTAGCTCAGTAGTCCATTGCATACCTTAGTATATGACAGATGCTAGTGGAGTCAGGCTCCTTTCTTCACCCTGGGAGGACACAGTGGGAACTACTCTGGCATTGTCAGTGTTCACAAGAATACATAGAGTCTATGAATATATCATGCAGGGAAATTTGCTGCTGAGAACCTACCTGTCACAAAATGCAGATGTTCACAATATAATGTATTGCAGGATATTAAACAGTTATCATCCTGTTGTCATTCATACTCACAAATTCAACGTTGCAAGTTTGATTTGCATTCTCCTTGTATTTTGGCAATGTCAGTGCTCACAAGAAACCTTAGAGTCTATGAATATATCACACAGTGATATTTGCTGTTGAGACCCTACCTTCGATTACAAAAAATTATAGTGCAGGATATTAAGATGTTATCATCCTGTTGACATTTATATTCACACATTCAACTTTCAAAGGTTGGTTTGCATTCTCCTTGTATTTTGTCAAATACAAGCTGTAGTTCTTTTGTTCTTCTTTCCTAGTCATCCCATTCCTCTTTTTGTCATGAAGCCAGGCTTGAATTTTCTTTGCAAATCAGTTATTTACTAGTGCCGAGAGGATGGTATTACATATTTCCCTTCTAAGTTATTCACACACCAGATGTTTGTTCTTCGTTATTATTTTTTTGTTTTTTTTTTTTTTTTATGTAACTGTGCAGCTCTTGTCTCTGTAACATCAGCCTCTGATTTCCTATAATACATTGGACACTAGATAGCACTGTTCCCACAAATTCATCTACCACCTCTGAATCTGTTAGATTTTTTCTGCCTTCTCTTTGACATAGACTATTGATGCTTTCTGGGTGGGAGAGATGAAGTCAAGTAACATCACACACAGTACAGCCAAGCCTGACAGGCATATAGAAAGAACTCTCCTGTACATTCTTGCTTTATTTCCCAAATTTTGCATGATGGAACACCTCTGATTAGAGACATTTGATGCCAACCTCGAAAGGGTACATATATGGGAGCTTACGGGGTTTTGCTAGTGAGATCTGAGCTTGCTTTTCCAGCAAGGTTGAATAAGAGGTGATTAGACCATGGGCCTCATTACTAAGTGTTTTGAGGCATTTACACTTGTTTCTAACAAGTGGAGATGGTGGTAAATTTATCAATTTTACTGACATTTTTATAGTTCTTTTAGCTGCGATTTTCTAATTCACAAAACCAGGAGGATATGAGTGGAAATAGTGGCTGTATTAATGGCTTAGTAAGCAGTCTATAGAAGCTTCATCGTGCCAAGAAGTGTTAGAATGACATTAGTTTTAAAAAGAAGAAGAGAGAACATAGCTTTTCAGTATTCCGATATTTTGAAGTGCAGGACATTCCTCACTGTAGCTATTGATTCATGTACGAGGGATTACAAAAGAAGTGTTGAGATACTATGTTTTTATCTAGGAAGCAGACAAGCAAGTTCGAAGTGATGGAAAAAAAGGATAGAGTCAGAGAAAGAAAATTCATGGAGTCATTGGTTGCATAATCACAATATGTCTATGTTTTCTAAGGAATATCCATCAAGGTACTTTATGCTTTCCTGAATATAGTCTACTCAACAATGTAGATGGGTATAACAGCAAGCTAACTTTTCAAAATTATGGAGAACTTTGAAAAATTATTAGAATATACAAATCAAAATATGATATTTTGCATCACTATCCAATTCTTGTAGTGAAGACATAGGTAGTGGATAGTGAAAATAAAATCCCTGAGGTTTAATGAACAGTTTGCTTAAAATACCTGGCAAATGCCATAACTGTTGTACAAATAGTAGATGGATTTTAAATAATAAAAAACAAAACAAACAAAAACCCAGAAGCTCATATTGTGGTAAATTATGACAGATGGGAGAAACAAAGGAACAATCCATTGCCATGTCTCATTTTTCTAACTCCATTAATCCTCTGAATGAATGTCTCTGAGTCCTTAGATGAAAGCTATCCAGGCAAAAAGCCTCTAGTTCTTTTATCGTAAGGCCTTATACACCTATGTCTGCCTAGCCATTACTTCTTTCCTAGTGCTGGGATTAATGGCATATGTACCTTTCAATTACTGTGATTAAATGTGTGAGATCTTAAGTGTAGGTGTTAAGGCAAATGACAACCAAGCATTCAAATTAAAGGTATATTCCAACAATGCCTGTCTTTGTTTCTCTCCTAGACTGAGTCTATCCCATGTCATCTGTTGTAGCTTTGAATGCTGTCAGATACAAACAGATCACGGCTTCCCCACTGATATGATTTCAGGTGTATGGAACCACTATGTTTAATCTATTGGTGTGTTCTCCGCTGTGATATTCACATACATTATTTAGGGTACACAATATATCACCATTCATACCGGGAGGAAACGCTATATCAGTGTGACATCGGTGTGCAAATCTGCATGCCACTAAAATGTGCTGGCTATTTAATCATAACCAGGGAACATTCTAATATATCCTGTGGAAGAATGATGAAGTGAAAAATGTATGAGTGTCTTATATTATTTAGTAAGCTGACAAAAGTGGAAAGATAGATTTTCTCAACTATTCAGGCCCTGCGATGTTGCCCATGGACTAATATTTTTGCTCACATTCATGCATACTCAGGTACTTTACATGAACACAATTAACAAAAAATAGAGTAAGTACATGATCAAAGGATGGCAGAGCAATTGCAGACTATATCTGTGATGGTAATGTAGTGAATTTTTTAATATGAATAATCGCACATTTTTCCTGAACAGGAATTTTTTTTTACATTTTTTAAAATTATATTTTACAATACTATTCAGTTCTACATAATAGCCACAGATTCCCTTGTTCTCCCCCTTCCTGCGCCCCTCCATTTCCCCCAGGACACCCCCCATTTCCACCACCTCCACATCAAGGCCACCCCTGAGGACTGAGATCAACCTGGTAGACTCAGTCCAGGCAGGTCCAGTCCCCTCCTCCCAGATTGAGCCAAGCATCCCTGTATGAGTCCCAGGTTTCAAACAGCGATCTCATGCAGCGAGCCCAGGACCTGGTACCACTGCCTAGATGCCTCCCAAACAGATCAAGCCAACGAACTTTCTCACCTATTCAGAGGGCATGATACAGTTGGGGGCCCCTCACCCTTTGGTTCATAGTTCATGTGTTTCCATTGGTTCGGCTATTTGTGCCTGTGCTTTATCCAACATTGGTTTCAACAATTCTCGCTCATATAAACCCTCCTCTTTCTCGCTAATTAGACTCCCAGAGCTCCACCCGGGGCCTAGCCGTGGATGTCTGCATCAAGATTCCTCAGTCCTTGGATGGGGTTTCTGGCACAACTATTAGGGTGTTTGGCCATCCCATCACCAGAATAGGTCAGTCCCGGCTGTCTCTCAGCCATTGCCAGCAGTCTTT